CCGTGAGATTCTTCTCACGTTCTCTCCCCTACTGCTTATATCATCTTGAATCAAGAGTTGTTCTCTTTCCAATTGAATCGCAGAACCGTTCAAACCTGCTTTCTCTTCCCAAATCGTCGCAACCGCTTCAGTTTTTTTTTTTTAAAAAAAAAAATTAAGCCTGCGCGAGAAAGAGATCCTATCGCCGTCTGTTTTCTCGTCACTCCAGTTCGGCGAGAATCCTGCCGTCGTTCCGAGCAGCTCCCCGTCTGTCCGTTTCAACCTCTGTCAGTCATCCCCGTCGGCCCTCTTTTTCCGACAAATCTGTCCGTCACCGTTCTTTCCCCGATTTCGGTCGCCGACCACCGTCGAGGACAACACGTCCATCCTTTCGCGAGCAGCAACGTGTTCAAGGAGTTCCGGGCTTTCGAGGTGTTGGTCCATTCGATTTTCCGTTTGCCGTCTGATTCCCGAAGACAGGTAAATCTATCCGACCCTTCTTGTTATTTTATCCATGCTCGTATGTCATGATGTTAGACATATATTGTGCTCGTCAATCAAATCCTTGCTTGAAATCGGTTTAATTGTCGGTTCGTATGTTCGTTATTTATTTCGTATATTCGTGAATTATTCGGGGATGATTGGAACTCTCGATTTCGTAAAAACGAGTATCGTATTGTTTCGAGCCCTCGAGGTTCGTCTTGGCGTCCGTTTACTTTCAAGCCTAATTTTCATTTTTCGAGTCGTATTCTCGTTTTTCGAGCCAAAAACCCGATTTTTATAAATGTTCTAACTCTTAAAATTTACAATTTGCAAGAATATGATGTCTCGGAACTTTTGCCTGTGAGTTTATGCCGTCAAAACGTCAAAATCCGTCGTCGGTGCCTGTGGGTATTTCCATTCTGTTTTCTGCTCGCAATCAGGACTTTTGGTTTAATATAAGTAGCCTATTTTCCCTTTTACTTCCCAAACAAGCATGTGGCGCAGTGGTCTTCCATGTGTATGCTTGTGTGTGTGGTCTTGAGTTCGAAACCCATAGCTGCCCACTTTCTTTTTTTTGCACAGCCCAAGCTTGTATGTTCTAAGGCGCGCAGGCAGCTTGGCCCGTTTCCAGCCCGCACGCGGCCCGTCTTCGGTCAGCGATGTCAGCCCGCGTCCAGCCCGCGCAGGCCCGCGTTCTCTGACTTCCTTCGGCCCACAAACCCAGCAGAAGCCCGTGCCCATTCCAGTTGGCCCAGGCCCCATTTTCGCGGCAGATTTTTCCAGCGCGGTCCAGTTGGCCTTTTTGGTCTATTTTGAGTTCCGGAAGCCCATTTTTAATACCGTTTTCGATTTTAAAAACATTTTCAAGATGAGAATAAATTTGGAAAAATTATTTAAAGTCCCGAGACTGTAATTTAGTCCTCCGAGTCCTATTTTTTCAAAAATGTGAGAGTTCCAAGTCCATGAAAAATCTGATAAAAATCCCTTAATCATTACTTTTGATTAAGTGTGAATTATATGTTGATTCCGAGTAGTGAGATAAATCATTGATTATTATCTCGCTTAAATGTAGGTGTTTGAGGAGTCGAGCCTCGACCTACGTTACACTACTTGTTGTGTTTTGCTATCCAGAAATACCAGGTGGGTTGTTATTCTAAAATTGTCTATGCAATAAATTATGCCTTACTTTTATATGATCAATGTATGCTTACGAATCATGTAGCCTTCGATGTGAGCTGTACCGGCCGTAACACACCCGATGATGTAAGTCTCCACCTCATACCATCCGAACCGTCCCCCGAGATGGGTATCTGCTGGATCCTATCTAATAACTGCTCACTAAAACCCGCCCCGGAGCCCAACTCTCTATCAAGCTTCCCCCTATCCCACGACCCATCCGTCCAAAGGTCGCGCACAAGCAGGTAGGGGGAATGCGACACCTGCCTATCTCTAGACAACGGCCTATCACCTAACCACCACTCATCCCAGAAACTAACCTCGCCAACCCCCAAAACCCAAAAAATGTGATCCTGGGCGCGCCTACCAACCCTAGTAAGACGCCGCCACTGTCTGCTATCATGCGCAACTGCCGTTACCCAACAAGGGTGGTTGGCGCGTCTAGAGCAGTACTTGCCGCGAAGGTACTGGGCCCAAACCGACTTTCCTTCCCTGAAGCGCCACCACAACTTGTATGAGAAGGCAGTAACAATATCCCTAAGGCGACGGATGCCAAGGCCACCCTCAAGGAGAGGGCGGCAGATAGAGTCCCAACTCACCCAGTGGGTACGTCTCCCCCTCCCCGAACCATCCTCGTAACCCCAGAAATAACGAGCCATGATCTGGTCAATCTCTTCAAGGGTGGATCTAGGAGGGTCGAGGACCATAAGTAAATGAAGCGGAAGGGAGCTAAGGGTGCTCTTTTCAGCGGAAGCCGACCACCGAACGAAAGATGTCTATGCGACCAACCCGAAATCCTATCGATAATCCTCTGCCTGATGCCTGCAAAGAACGCTCTCATGAGGTTGCCCTTATATAAAGGGGCACCAAGGTAGGTAATGGGAAGGTCGCCGTGCGCAAAGCCAGTGATCTCGTGGACTCGTTGGGCCCACCTGTCCGCGCTGGAGGAGGAAAGGGTGAAGGTGCTCTTCTGCACACTGATCAGCTGGCCGGTAACCGAGCTATAATGCTCCAGAAGGTGCATAAGCTCGATCAGCCCATCATCATCCGCACGAGTGAAGATGATGATGTCATCCGCATAAGATAAGTGCGAGACGGGGGGACCATAGCCATGGGTGCTATATGTCATCTGAGGATAGTCGCGGATAAAGCTGTCGAGGCAGCGAGAGAGGTAGTCCGCCGCAAGAACAAAAAGGGACGGGGAAAGGGGGTCTCCCTGTCTGAGGCCTCTAGATGAGGGAAAAAAATCTGTGGGGCTGCCATTAACCAGGACCGAGGACGTGCAATGCTCCACACACGCCTCTACAAAGCTGATTCATCGCTCCGGGAATCCCATCCTAGCCAGTGCCTCCCTAAGAAACGGCCACTCCACTCTATCATACGCCTTAGCCATATCTAGCTTTAGCGCAATGTTCGGAGCTCGCTTCCAGTCTGCATGGGAGATATCGTGGATCATCTCCTGGGCCAAAAGTATGTTATCACTAATGACCCGATCCTTGACGAAGCCACTCTGGTTCGGAGAGATGAGGGAGGGGAGAATAGGGGAAAGACGGCCGTTAAGAATCTTCAAAATAAGCTTATTGGTCACGTTACACAGGCTGATGGGCCTGTAGTCGGACCAATAGATCGGATTGGGTCTTTTGGGAATCAAGACGACAGAGGTAGCCGTGAAGGAATCCGGCATCCGGTGACCGGTGAAGAAATCCAATACCGCCTCCTCAACATCAGGCTTGACTATATCCCAGCAGACCTGATAGAAGAGGGAAGAGAACCCATCGGGGCCAGAAACGCTGTTGGGATCAATCCCAAAAACAGCATCCTTAACCTCCTCCCTGCTCGGAAGCTCACAGAGGTCGACAAGGTCGACCGAAGGAGGGATGGTAGGGAAGAGAGAGACGGTCGGCAACGAGGGACCGTCTGTCAGAGGTGAAGAGGGTCTGGAAGTGAGCAACAGCCGACTCACGAATCTGAGACTCCTGGGTCAGGGATGACCCATCTGCCTCAACACTATGGATGTACGACTTAGCACACTTCTGTCTAACGAAGCCTTGGAAGAACCTAGTGTTCCGCTCGCCCTCTGCCACCCAGCGAACGGCTGCCTTCTGCTTCCAGAAATCCTCCTCCATAAGGAGTCGGAGCTGGTACTCGGCGTGGCAGCGGTGCATCGCAGTCCTATTCTCCGGATTGAGATCCAGGTCATAGGCCCGCTCAGCCTCCGCGTGCGCACTCTGAGCCGCAGAAAGGCACTGATGGAGGTTTCCAAAAACATCCCAGTTCCACTGTCTCAACCTACGCTGTAATCTGCCGAGCTTAACTTCGAGATTGCGCATCCCGAAGAGCCCAGTGTCATGGAAAGAGTGCTTCTTTTTTGTTGCTAGGTAGTTATGTGTAGCTGCTAGGTTGGTTGTCTTTTGTTGCTAGGTTAGTTGTCTTTTGCTGCTAGGTTAGTTGTTTCTTGTTGCTAGGTTAGTTATCTGTAGCTGCTAGGTTAGTTGTCTTTTCTTGCTAGGTTAGTTGTCTTTTGTTGCTATATTAGTTATCTTTAGCTGCTAGTTTAGTTGTCTGATGTTGCTAGGTTAGTTGTTTATTGTTACTAGGTTAGTTATTTTTAGTTGCATGTTCAGTTTATTTTTCCTCCATATTTTCTTATAATTGTTCACTCTGTTTAATTTTATGTAGAAACAGGGTTATAAATCTAAGCTTCTTAGCAAGGTTATGTGCTTGGCTACTGATGTGGTGGATGTTATAACCTTGCTTGAAGATGCCCCCCATGAAGTGTCTGGAGATTTAAATTATAAGAAGATACAACAAGCAACGAATATCTTATTTCTTTCAATCCTGATGTACCTCAATCTTCTCAGAAGACAGATTATTTTGAAGATAGTGAAGAAATAGTTGCTTTCTGGAATGATCCAGAAACAATTGCAGCTATTGAGAAGATTGAGCGTGCTATTGGGAAGAGGGCTGCATACAAAAAGAAGACACAAGATGATGATGTTCCCATTTTTTCATTGGGATTGGGGTTGACCTCCCAGTCCCAAGAGAGTGATAGAGGTTGGGAGGACATTCTAAATGTTTCAAGGCAGTTTTCAACTGATAACAGAGTTGATGATGATGGTTCTATCCCCCAACCGTCTGTTGAGCCAGTGAAAAATAAAGAGATAGAGATTAGAGAGAGAGAGGAAGTGAAGAAAGAGATGGAGAAGAGAATTAAAGAAAGAGAGGATGAAGAAAGACAAAAGAAAGAGAGAAAGGACAAAGAAAGACAAGAGAAGGAGAAAGAGAAAGAGACAAAGAGAATTGAAGAAGAAAAAGAGATTGAGGAGAACCAAACTCTCTCTCTCTTTCTGTTAGAGAAACAGAAGCAGAAACAGAAAGAGAGAGACACTTGAAAACAAAAAAGAGAAAGAGAGGGAGAGAATTGAAAAAGAAAAAGAGAAGCAGAGAGAGAAGCAGGAGAAAGAGAAAGACAAAGATAGAGAGAGAGAAAAGAAGAAGATAGAGGAGAAAGAGAGAGAACAGAAACAGAGGGAGGAGAAGGAGAGAGAAGTCAGAGAGAGGGAAAAGAAAGAGAGAGAGCAGAAGGAGAGAGAGGAGAAGGAGAGAGAGAAGAAAGGGAGAGAGCAGAAAGAAAAACAGGAGAAAGAGAGAGAGGAGAAAGAAAGACAGGAGAAAGAGAGAGAAAAGAAACAGAGGGAGGAGGAGAGAGAGAACAGAGAGAGGGAGGAGAAGGAGAGAGAGCAGAAAGAAAGAGTTGAGAAAGATAGCGTGGATAATGAGAAAGAGAAGAAGCTGAGGGAGGAGAAACAGAAGGAGAGAGAGAGAGAGAGAGAGAGAGAGAGAGAGTTCAAAAAGAAAAAGAGGTTGAGAGAGAGAGGTTGGAGAAAGAAAAAGAGAAAGAGAGAGAGAGAGAGATAGAATGAGGCTTGAAAAAGAAAAAGAGAAAGAGAAAGAGAGGGAGAGAATTGAAAAACAGAAAGAGATTGAGAGAGAGAGGGTTGAGCAGGAGAAGCTGAGACAGAGAGAGAAAGTGGAGAAAGATGAGAAAGAAAGAATTCAGAAAGAAAAAATGGCGAAAGAGAAGAAAGAAGAACAGCAGAAAGTGAAGCAACGGGAGAAGTCGAAAAGGAAACTGAAAGACAATGAGAAACCTGCATTGAAACAATACAACATATCAAAAGCAGGTTCAAGGGATCAAGAAATATATGATTGGATATTGGATGAAGAAGATCAGAAGACAATGTAAATTTTCATACTTGCGAAATTTTATATATTTTTTTACATTTTATTGCATTTATTAATTCCAATTTATATTTTCTTGTTCTTTCCTTATTTTTGTGCTGTTAGGTATGAGACAATTTTTCAGAATGGGGATCTAATTTTAATGAAAGAAGATCTCAGGTCCTTAAGGCCAGATGCATATGTCAGTGTCTCTGTACTTGATACCTGGTCCAGAATTTTGAACTTAAGAGAACAATCCAGAAAACCAGGATTAAGAGAAGCATATATAATTAAACATAGAGAATAGGGTTATGAAGATGTTAAATTAACATAAAAGAAGCATATATAATTAAACATATTATGCAATAGTTAATACATAGAACATGGTGAGGATTAAGAGAAAATTAACAGAGATTTTAATTCTTATTATAAACATTGAAGGTAAAAATTGTAGAAGATTTTCACCTTCAACTTTGTGATGTAATCTTCTTGGGTAGGGTGGATCGACTTACGAAGTATGCACACTTCATACCCATTACGCATCCCTACACGGCGAAATTCATCGCCAAGTTATTCATCGAGTATGTTATGATGTTGCACAGGGTGCCACGCTCGATAGTCTCCGACCGCGACCGGATCAATATGAGTAGCTTTTGGTCAGAATTCTTCAGCCTAGCCAAAAGGGACTAAGCTATCGATGAGTTCAGCCTACCACCCACAGACGGATGGGAAAACAGAGGTGACCAACCGCACGCTGGAGCAGTACCTACGGTGCTACGTGCATCAATTTCCAAAGAAGTGGGATAATTTTCTACCATGGGCTGAATACTGGTACAATACCACTTACCATGGGTCGACCAAGACTATGCCATTCGAGCTTGTGTATGGGCGCAAACCACCTACGCTCGTGAGTTAGTCGCAAGGAGGTGCGATCAACGATGAAGTCGGTCGAGAACTTGAGGAGCGAGATCTGATGTTGTGTGAGTTGAAGAAAAATCTAGCAGGCTCGATTAATCAAATGAAGACCTTTCATGACGGCAAGAGGCGCGAGAAAAGTTTCGAGCCAGACGACTATGTCTACTTGAAGCTACGACCATTTAGACAACGCACGACTTCGCAAAGGGCCGCGACTAAGCTGGGGGTATGCTATTACGGGCCATATCAGGTTTTGAAGTGTATAGGTCAAGTAGCTAATTGCCTCGAGCTACCGTAGAGTTCGCACATCCATCCGGTCATACATGTCTCACAGCTCAAGAGGAGTTTAGGTGAAGCGCACAAGTGGTGCGAGGAGCTGCAAGCGATAGCGACTGATGGACGGGTCATTGTAAGGTCGAGTCGCGCAATCGAGTATCGCCAAGTGAAAAAAGCTGGACGTTATCGTTGGGAGGTGATGAAGCGGGCAGCGAAGCCACTTGGGAGGAACTAGATGAGATGCTCGATCAATTCCCGGATTTCGTCCTTGAGGACAAGGAAACACTTGAACGGGACATGAACGATACGGATGTGGCGAGGCAACTAAAGAATGCTCCTAGTCGCGTCTACCATGTGCGCAAGAGTCTAGCGCGATGCACGGGCTAGACGCAAGTCATCGATGGTGACGTGTGCGGGGAGCGCGAAAATGGCAAGCAACTGCCGACGGGCGATGGCATGCGGGCGCGATGCGCTGGCGATGAATGATGACACGCGCGTGACGAGCCCATCGGACAGGGACACGGAGGATGCGGCAGGTGCCGAGAACGCGCGCGAAGAAGCCGCAGGGGACAAGGACGCGCGCGAGGCACGTAGCGGGTGTGCACACGCGAGAGTGGGCGGCGCGACCTTAGTCCTCGAGGACTAAGGCAAGGCGCGCGAGCGGTGGGGGATCCGAGGCAGCGGGAAGGGAAGCTAGGGTTCCTTACTTGGAGTGCAAGACAAGATCACCAAGGATTCTTTAGATATTTAGTTTTCTTCGTCGCATAAGATTTCTAGATTGTTTAGGGTACTTAATATTTTATTGCTTTATTAGAGTTATAGTTAGATTAGGACTAGATCTATTTGATGCCTATATAAAGGCCCTTCCTCTTGTTATTTTTATTCATTGAAGATCATAATAAGAAACCCGAACTTTTGTTCAAACACTTTACCTTAGATTTCTTCTTGATTTCTTTTGCAATTTTATTCCGTTTCGAGGGGCGCGGGTGTGTGAACCTCCGAGACAACTATCGTCAGTTCAAGGCATGAGTGTGTGGCCTATCGGCAATCGGGACACGCGATCTTCATCACACGGGCTGGGCGCGGCCTGCTGGGCTGAGCGCGCGGACTGCGCGGGCTACTCACGTGGAATGACTAGGGCTAAGGCTAATGCTCCCTCTTGTGATAAAAAACACTGAGAAAAATTATACGAATGATTGGCTAAGTCTTGGGCATGGTCTTGGGCATGGCACAGACTCGGCTCGGGGCTTGGGTACGGGAAGGCTTGGCACGGGTATGGCCTTGGCGCGAGCGACTTGGGCAAAGGCTAAGTTTCGAGAATGAGGGTCTAGGGCTTGAACTTGGATACATAGAATAATTTCTAAGTAATTTCTACTAAGGCTAGTGCTAGGGAAATGCTTGGACATTACTTGGAAAAATACTCAGGTTGAGACTAGGGTTCGAGGCCAAGTAAATTCTTGAGTTGAGTAGCTATTACTTATCAATGCAAATTAATGGATTGATCTTGACCTTAACATGACTAAGAAAATTCCAAAGAATGATCTATCATACTTAGGAAATAATCTAACATAATTGAGCATTTACCATATAAAAAATAACTCGGATATTTCTGAAAAATACGGGTTTCACTTATAGTCGAGTAGTGAAACCGTTCTTAATATTATTACTGATTCGGGGCGTTATAACCTATCCTCCTCAAAATATTTCCGTCCTCGAAAATTCAGAGCTAAGGTACTAAGTCAGAACTCATACTACCACTATATACAAATGTACTAAAATAAAAGTACATAGGTATAATTGTACCTCTCAAAACTGATCTGTATATCTAGCTCTAAACTCGGTCTCTCACTCATTCCAAGGTGGCCTCGGAAAGATCCATGACAAATCTTAGAAACTATAGTTCAGGAACTTCAACGAAGCTCATCTATCTTTTGTAGCATCGCCCTATCTATGGCGATACTTCTAGTTTTAGAGGGATGCAAATGTGTCTACCTCGTTAGGCTGGTCGAGCTTTGCTCGATTAGAAAAGGTCAACTGTTTGTTTCGTCAGGCTGATCGGACTTGTTCGATTAGACGAATACATTTACCTTGTCAGGCTGATCTGGTTTACCCGATTAGACAAGGTCTGGCTTTACGTTTCGTCAGGATGATCAAGCTTGCCCGATTAGACGAATACGTCTTCCTTGTCAGGCTTATCGAGCTTGCCCGATTAGACAAGGTCTTTTTTAACATTTCGTCAGGCTGATCGGACTTGTCCGATTAGTCAAATACGTTTACATTGTCAGGCTGATCGGGTTTTTCCGATTAGACAAGGTCTGGCTGTACGTTTCGTCAGGCTGATTGGGCTTGCCCGATTAGATGAATATGTCTTCCTTGTCAGGCTGATCGGGCTTGCCCGATTAGACAAGGTCTTTCTTCACGTTTCGTCAGGCTGATCGGACTTGTCCGATTAGACGAATATGTTTACCTTGTCAGGCTGATCGGGTTTTCCCAATTAGACAAGGTCTGGCTATACGTTTCGTCAGGCTGATCGAGCTTGCCCGATTAGATAAATACGTCTTTCTTGTCAGGCTAATCGGGCTTGCCCGATTAGACAAGGTCTTCCTTCACGTTTCGTCAGGCTGATCGGACTTGTCCGATTAGACGGATATGTTTACCTTGTCAGGCTGATCGGGTTTACCCGATTAGACAAGGTCTTTCTTCACGTTTCGTCAGGCTGATCGGACTTGTCCGATCAGACGAATACGTCTTCCTTGTCAGGCTGATAGGACTTGTCTGATTAGACAAGGGCTGTTTAGACTACGATACTCGACAAAAACTCGGTATACGCTTGTATGAGTCAAGGTGGAAAAAACCTTTCACTCAACCTGTGTCATGCTAACTCGACCAATACGGGAGCTACTCAACCGTTCAGGTCCTAAAACTTACTTACGTATATATCTCTGAAGCTAATACTGAGCACACATAACACGTGTACGGAAATGACTGATCTGGGTATCCAGTTATGAATCTCGGCCCGTCTCTCCCAAGTGGCTTCCAACTCGTAATGACGACTCCAGTAAACTTTGACTGATCTTAGTCACCGAACCTTTCGGTCCAGGACTGCTATTGGTTACTCAGCACGTGTCTGGTCCTGCCCGACATTCTCACTCGTCAAAGTTCACTGTATGACTTGGGTCCTACACGTACTTTCTCAGCATCAAACGTGGAAGATGCTATGTACATCCGAGAGTTCTGGGGGCTATGCCAGATGGTAGGCTGCTATGCCAACTTTCTCGAGAATATTAAAAGGCCCTTATAAACGGGACTGCAATTTCCCTTCTTCCCGAAACTTACAACGCCCTTCATTGGTGTGACTTTCAGGAATACTTTATCTCCTTCCTCTCACATAAACTCCCTTCTACGCTTGGTAGCGTAGGCTTTTTGTCTATTTTGCGCCTTTCCCAGCCTCGCTCGGACCTCAGCAACCTTCTGCACAGTGTCCTTCATCAACTTGGGACCGAGAA